CAGGTCCTCCTCTGCTGAGATCCATGGTCCCCCCTCTCGTCGTCCACCATGCCGCACCTGTAACCCGGAGACAATGCCAACAGTCTGCTTCACACCCCTTCCAACTGGAAAATGTTCTCCCTCCAGGCGCTCCTAACTACCTAAGACGCGCCTTTCCATACAACATCATCAACACCTGGAATGCGCTGCCATCCTCCCTCTTCACCAAACCACCATCTCCTAAGGGCCTACAATCCTTCAAAGCGAACGTCCACTACCATCTTCGCCGAAGCCAGTGGCTTTGGGCCACAGACTCCCTCTAACAGTTCAGAACTATTTCCATCCTGAAGCTCCCCCCCCCCCCCAAGCATTGCATGATGTTCACTGCATCTGAACTGCCTTTGAATCTATTTTTCTCTCTTCTTGTTCTCTCTCCACCCCCACCCCCACCCCCCCCCCCTCTCTCTCTCTCTCTCTCTCTCTCTCTCTCTCTTTCTCCACCCCCCCCCTCTCTCTCTCTCTTTCTTTCTCCTCATCCATTCTACCTCACCTTCTCTTGTCTTTATCGCACTATCGCACTAAATCACCCCCCTCTTTTAGGCTATGGTGCGCAAGCTCACGTTAACGCCGAGACCATAGGTCGGTGTTGTGGGCTTGCCTCACCAGCACAGGCTTGCTTTGCAGCCCCTACTCTCCCTGCTGTTTTGTCATTGTATACTCTGTTGTCTTCTCCCCTTCTGACGAGTAGGTTGTGTACTTAGTAAAAAAAAAAAAAAAACACACACACACACACACACACACACACACATACACCTAAATAATTTTCAGGATTACCCAAAGGCCTTGACCTTGTTACACGTTGCCTTGATAGGTTACACGGTCCCCGTCAGGGGAGAGGGGTGGAAGAGGCTGAGGAGCAGCACTTCTGATGGTGCACTAGATGGTGACGTAGTCGGAACTTCCATTGGCAAGGGCACTCAAACGGGAAGTCGGCCCTTTCCGACACTGTCCTTCGTTTCGTGCGGTCGCACTTGTGTCTGGCCAAGCCGCTGCTGGACTTGAAACTCCGGTGGCAGGTGCTACACTGCGGAGTGACCGGGTTGCCGGGGTGCTCGATGTTGGGAGCAGGTCCGTGATCGCACCGATAGGTAGCCAATCCACAGGGGCTGCGGAACCAACGTTGGCAGAGACGACATTGGCAAGCGCCAGCCTGATTGCACACTGGTTTCTGTCGTTCTGCCAAGCATTGTGACGCTTCTCATCTGATGGGCGAGAGAAGTACCGATCACATACTTGGCAATGGACATTGGGTGTGGGCGGTTCGGGCTCGAAACAGCGGTACATGCGGCGCCAGTCGGGGCGAGAATCTGCCAGATCGTACCAGCCCTCCACAGCATTCAGGGCCTTCAGGTCTGCACTAATGCAGTCTTTCCAGCGTTTGCGTGGACCGCCAGGTGGATGGCGGGATGGGAGCAGACCGAACAACAGAATCTTCGGGATGCGCTCTGGTGGCATGCGAGCAACATTACCCAGCCACTCAAGCCGTCGCTGGCGAATCCGGACAGCAAGTGGGCGCTTGTCGCCCCACATTTCCAGCAACTGATCATTGCTGATCCGCTCTTGCCGGGCGTTTAGCCTTGTTATGCCAAGAACGGTACGCAGACACTGCATGTAGAACGTGGAGAGCCTCCGGATGTCGGCTTGGAGGGGTACCCAGCACTCAGCTCCGTACAGCAGAATGGTGGCAACGCACGCATTGAAGATATTCTTCTTGGTGCGGACGTACAGATGGTGGTTGCTGAAAACTGGCTTCCGCAGGGAGCCAAACGCACGGGAGGCAGCCGCAATTCTGGAGGAGATGTCAATCGAACACCGGCCAGACGTATCAATGATCGACCCAAGGTAGCGAAACTCCGTTACGCACTCGATCTGGTTCGAACCAACACAAACAGGGGCGAGGTCCGCATCAGAAATGTCTCTGCAGATCACTATGAACTTGGTCTTGGAGAGACTAACTGTCAGCCCAAACTCGGAGGCGACTTCATCGAATGTCACTGCAGCTCGCTCCAGCCCGGATCGAGATGTCGCAAACAGTGTGGAATCATCCGCAAACTGGCATTCAGTTACGGTGTCTGACACTGCTGTGCGACGAGGCTTCTGCATTAGCTGACCATTGATGACACACACACACACACACACACACACACACACCCTAGACCTCAGACCTCAGACATGCCCGCGAACAGCTATGTTAGACACACACACACACACACACACACACACACACACACACACACACACACACACACACACACACACACACACACAAACACACACACACACCACACCACACACACACACACTTGTACTTGTTGCTCACTGCCAAAACTGGCCACGTGGGTCTCCCGGGAGAGGGGAGAGAGACTCAAAACGGACAAAAGGAATCTTGGAAAGATGACTCAATTGGAACCGCCCAACGGCCGACACCCCCTGAAATCCCCAAAACTCTGGGTGGACTTGAAAATGATCCCACTTATGGGCTCACCACACCTCAGTAAGTGGGTGAGGACAAGAATATCCGTCCTGGGATCCAACTGCAGTTACCCCTGCCCCCAGTGAAGGTAATACGTGCTACTAGTGTGGGTGGCTAAATCAGAGTGGATCTGATATAAGCTTCACTAGCACCATTGATTACACAAGAGTTTAATCTAGCCAGAAGCAGTCCATGGTATTTGAAGTATACATACCTGTTAACCATGGACACACACCATTTGACCATTTGACGCCCATCGCCACTATTCAGCCTGGTCTACGCCACACAGCTACATGTATGAAGTGGCTTTTTCTGGCTAGTGAATCCCTCCTTTTTGGTCTTTTTTCATTTTTTTCCCGCACACACATCACACCACATACTCCGGCATGCACTGGCTGTTGGTAACCACCCAGGAGAATGACAGAAAAGTCAGGAGGAGTCTGAGAAAGAGAAGAAAGACGTGTGTGACCATGATCGTCGGGAATCGAACCCACAACCTATCGATTGGAAATCGCTGCATATACCACTACACCATATCATATGGGACACACCCACCCACCCACACACACATACACACACACACACACACACACACACACACACACACCTGTCCTGTTCTGTAGAGTCACTGCCGCAAAGGATCACGTGATCCCATCACTGGGAAACTTGAGAAGAGAGAGAGAGGGCACGACGCCCGATGACGCTCCAGGTGCACGGGTAGTCGCATCCGCTTGCCGCATATGCACACGTGCTTGAAGGTTGAGCGCTCCTCTGCTGTTGGTCTATGGGCCACCCTTGAACAGCGATGCCTGCCCCGTCCCCGGACACCGCGAAAGCAGCGACCATACCTGTCACAATGCGCGGCACAACATCCCTCCGCCGGTGCCGACGCTCCCGTAGCTCCAGGTGGCACTGTGGCATCCACCGTCGAGGCACACACATGCCGGACCAAGCCACCGCGGCTTCTCAGCCACCGCCCACACCGCCCGCACTGACTGGCGCCCCGCTGCTCAGACACAGGCCGCGCACGCTCCTCCAGACACTTATGCCGAGCCATGTCTCCTTTCCGTGCAAAATCCCGTCCGCATACCGTACATACCACTCGGGGCGGAGGCTCAGGCGCATTGTCAGGCTCTTGGTAGGTGCTGCGCCACTCCGCGCGAGACTCACATGCAACATCATACCATGATGCCTCCACACCACGGGCACGTAAATCCCGGACAGCACAGTCCTTCCACCTGCGGCGTGGGCCATGTGCCGGGCAACGCTGCAAGAAGGAGCCAAACAGCACCTGTTTCGGGATGCGGTCACGCACACACACACACACACACACACACACACACACACACACACACACACACACACACACACACACACACACACACACACACACACACCACACACACACACACACACACACACACACACGCACGCACACACACACACACACACACACACACACACACACACACACACACCACACACACACACACACACCACACCACACACACACACACACACACACACACACACACACACACACACACACACACACACTCAGACACACACCACACACACACACACACACACACACGCACGCACACACACACACACGCACACACACACACACACACACACACACACACGCACACACACACACACCACACACACACACACACACACACACACACACACACACACACACACACACACACACACACACACGCAGAACACATACATGTACATGTAACAGGAAAACAACACTCTGCCATGGCATGACTGTTCTCTGTTCCGTACTCGTCATGTAACTGTGCGACTAGCTGTTAGGCAGTTAGTGTTAGTGTTAGTGCTGCATGTACCAGTACCCAATGAGTAATGTCCTTCGAAAATTTTTTTAACCTTCCCTACAGCATAGTAAACGTGCATGCACAAGATGAAAAATGACATCCACAGGATCGTTTTCAAACCAGCGGCCGGCAAGCCCTTCATTAATTGTGAGAACTAGACCTGGTCTAGTGAGAAGGCATTCTATTCAGCGGCCTGTAATTCTGGTGAAGTAAAATAAAGTAACAACAACCACAACAACAACAACAACAAGCCCACTTCGAGTTGTACCCTCCTAGCCCTCCTGATCCTAGATCCTCTTGTAGATCTTGACGTTACCTCCCATCTTGCTTGTCGTATACAACAACTAATTACTTACTGTAATACAAGTCCTCCTCACCGCCTTTGTGGAAGTCGTATTTTACGACGTATGACGTGGGGTCATGGTCAGTGAATCGCCCTAGCCCTATGCATTTTTGAGCCTATGACATAACGTCACAGTGTGTGTGGTACAAAGTCTACATGACATTGTAGTACTTTTACCTGACAGTCTTTTATAATACAGGCAGACCTAGTATTCGATCTATGCCCTGTCTGTACATGTACGTCATACTCCCAGCATGTGGGTGCTAAAAAGCGCCTGGCCACAACGGCGCAAGCCGTGAAGTCTGAAGATAAAGAAAAAAATGTGAAGAGAACGGAAAAGAAAGACAAGGAAACAAAGATACGAGTGTAGTCTGGTGCGTTGAAGGTAGTGCTGCTTTCGTGCTTGTGATTTCTTGTAAGAAACCATCAGTTGTGCTTACTGCACTGAGTTGCAGGCTTTGCGGAGAACTGGAACTAGTGCTTCACTCAGACACGAAAGCTGCCAGTTTGCCACGAGTAAGGTAGAGTCAGCAGCTTTCTAGGATTTGTTGACGTTTCTGATGGTCGGTGCTGTACATCTTTGCCATGGATGAGGTCGCAATATCGTCTAGTCGGGTTGTTTGCGAGTACGACGGGTGTGGCAGGTCGTACAGTACTGCTGGCAACCTGAAGACACACATGAAGACTCACACTGGCGATCTGGCTTACAAGTGTGAGCAAGAACGGTGTGGAAAGGCGTTCCTCACCTCGTACAGCCTTCGCGTTCATGTAAGAAGTCATACAGGAGAGAAACCGTTTGTGTGCGATGAACTTGCGAATGGATGTCGCAAAGCGTTCACGTCTCTGTATCGATTACGGGCTCACAAACGTCTTCACACCGGTCAGCTATTCGACTGTGAACAGTGCTCTAAATCATTCATTACAAGGGGTGATTTACGGAAGCATGAGCGAAGTCATAGCGGAGAGAAGCCATACCAGTGTCCGGCAGATGAGTGCGGTAAAGCGTACACCACGGCCCACCATCTCAGGGTGCATGCGCGCAAGCACGACCGGGCGAAAAGCCCCGAAGTGGCACCAAACACCTCGTCACCCACGACTGGCACTGAAGATACTGCCAGTGTCCGACCATCCGAGTTGCCGGCTGATAACCCTTCGGTTTCTGTGGAGGTCCCGCCGCCATTGGCCGCTGAACCATCGGCCGCTGAACAATCGGCCGAGGCCATTCTGGACTATGGACGAACGATTCATTTCGATATTGACACACTCATGAACGGTTTAAGTGGGCCGTTTAGCATCGGTGAGCCAAACAACTTAAGAGTGTCTATGGCCGGGAGCAGTATCGAAAGCGGTGAGTATAGCAACTTGTATCCGTCGCTCCAGGGTATGGCGAATGGCAACACCCTGCCTGCTGCCGGCGCACCGTTCTTGCCAGCTGGCATCGCGTCCGGTATGCCGATGACGTATCAAGTGCAGCATGACTTAATGTCCGAGGCCCTAGGCATTCCGGCCAGTCCTGCACTGCCCAGCATGTTTGTTTCGAGTGAAGCCAGCCTAACTAATAGTAACAATGTCATTCTCACGGCCGCGCAGTATCAAGCTATGCAGTCGCAGCAGCAGCTGCAGGCGCCTGCACCGCTGCCCCTCACACCTGAAAACTCACCCAGCTGTAAATGTTCATGCGACTGTTGTAAAACGTGCACGGACTCTTGTCAGAGTGCGAGTGCCAGAGACGCAGTCAGATCACCATAAGTGCGGTCCGGCTGCCAAAAAGCATTCACAGTATTTGTCTCGGAAGCCCTTTTTTTTTGTCCAGTTGAGAGCAGGCCTTTTTTCTAGAAATTGTTCCGGTGCAAGTTTAAAGGCACCTTGGTTGGAGGTGTTAATCTTGCGATTATGTTAGGGCACATTTTATATCCTTTTTTTATTTGCAGGCATCCTTGCTAACCCTCCGTTTGTCTCCGGATAAGAATATTTGTACTCATTGGCTAGTGGCTTTCACACTTTTGCATTGTGTCTGCTGTTGTTCAACTGCGTTCGTTACTTGTTTGCTTTCTGCCTTGAGTCGCAGACTTGTTCTTGCTATCTTTCTTTACATTGCTTTGGATTACTATTATGTCGCTCCCAGTCACCAGCAGTTATTAGTCTGAACTCCATTTCCGCTCTTACTTGCTTGTGGATTTATCATATATTTATATGTTTGCTGCTCGTGCTTCCATAGTCGCTGTTGATTTTTGCGCGCACAGTGTACACCAGTGCGTTGCTTTGCTTGCTGGTCAAACCTCAATACCGGTATGTTGCTGTTACTTTTTCAAAAATTTTATTCAGAAAAATGAGATATTATGCTCTCTGGTCCCATCGGACCATTACCCTGTAGTGTCCGGTGCCTTTTTTGGCCGTATGGGTTTGTTGCTGCAGTCTTGGTCTTCACATTGTTGATGTTGGGCGTGTGCTGTGTCATGTCAACGTATACTAGTAGTGTCTGTACATTGTACATTGTATCCTGTATCCATGAGTAAGCGTAGTATTACATGTATGTTGATTTGTGTTGCAGAGATCAAGGACGCTATCCAAATACTCCTGATGAGTGTGACTATGCCAAGTTTGCACAGGCGTGTGCAGCAAGCTTCATTTGTTGACTGCTGTACAGTGTTGTTGCAGACTGCTTTGGCTGGACTCTATACTACCCTATGACCAGTCAGTTGGTTATGGCCTCTTGGTGTGACTAGGAGCATAACCTCCAAGAACACTATCTGATACATGTATTATGTGAGTGTTCTCTAGCTCTCATGGCAGAACAGACCATGAGTTGCACTTTCAGGGGATGGGGGATAATGTAGGCATGCCTTGTAATGCTTTCGTCGACAGTCTAGTATGGATTACACTTTGTTCCTGCAGACTCAATAAAATGTATTTTCAGTTCACAACACATGTGTCGGCTGTACTGATCTTGATACATGTACTGTATTGTGAGTCAGGTTTTATGACTCCCTGGTGCCCTCCCTGACTTGGACTTTGTTGGAGTTGGAGACTAGTTGTAGATCTACATCAGGGAGTCGTTATTTTTACGACTCCCTCCGCACCGCTCCGTACCACACATGTCGTCTGTGACCGGCTGCACTGCACACACGTTGTAGATCTACCACATGCACAGCTCTGTAAAAAAAAAAAAAAAAAAAAACCCACAGCTCTGTCACGGCTGTTAGCTGCACTTGGATCGCGGCAACTACTTAGTTTTCTGCACGTGAACCATGAAAAAGCAATGCATGCTCATGCATGTTCATGCATAACCAGTCAGCTGGCCTGCTCGCCCACGCATTTGACAGGTAACAATTCCATCAAATTTGAGATATCGCTTCGTTCTAAGTCTCAAAACAGTTCTAAAGTCACCAAACCACGCTGGTAATCGATGGCTATTCAATGTTAACATCTTCAGGAAGACTTCAGCCGTTTCCCGAGAGTTTGGGCATCGTTGCCGTTATTTTTCACGGTGTTCTTCTTCCTCCTGTCTGGAGCTGCAATTGCATCCTGGAATTATTTGAAAGGTATTTCGTGCGGGCTGTGGGGGGTTCCAACAGGCATAAACTGACATCGCTATAGGATAACTGGTAACTTTCACCCTTCAAGGAGGTAGAGCAATGAGAATTTTTTTGTGGCGGTCGTCCAATTTTTGTGGCGGTCGTGGCTGTATTTGTGCACTTCCAAGGCTTTCATTCTGCCTGATACTACTCTGTACTGTATGGGAATCGTTGTTTAGACACATGTAGCTGTCTTATTTGGTAGATCTGCTGTTTTCAATCACTTGGGACACTTTGTCTAGCCTATTTGTCTTTCGTTCGTGCCATCTATCAGTTTTGTGGGGTGCCTTGACCTGTATTTGTGAAGTTCTCGAGTAAAGACCCTAATTCTTGACTGAAGTCACGTCTTGAATTGAATTTGCTGCGTGAGCCCTCGTTCACGCAGTTGTACTTATCGTAATAGTCAATATCTGCTTGCTGGACGGACTAGCGGCTAGAATAGGGATGACCAAATGGTCCAAGTGTGTACTAGTACACGATTATTGTTTCCATCATCGTGAAATGCTCGTTGTGGAATTGCAGTCGTCTGCCTTTGGCACTGGGGACATGAGGAGAGTTGATTGTTACTTCTGCTCAGCAATGAAGCGATCATCAGCTCTCTTTGTTCTAATTATTGAGAGGACATACCGGCATCGCAATCAAGTTGATTAGGCAAACCTCGCCAACCTCCAAAGAGAGTCGAAGATATTTTCTCCAAATGCAAAGCCGATCTTTGTGAGTTTGTGACTTGCATTTGCGTGCATACATGAGCAAGTCACGGACCACGGCACGTGCGCGGTTACCATGCCATCTCGAACCGACGCCATCTTTCTAGTTGCCGCTTCTTGACAGCCGTGCTGTACGAGTTGTGTGTGCAGCTACATGTAGCTGTAGTGCTACAGTCTACAGTAGTCAGTGGTAGTAGCATGTACACAAGCCAAGCTACAGTGCTCTGGCAACTGAAATCCGACCACCTGGGCGGGGCGCCGTGCCGCCCAGGGGGTCGGATTTCAGCTGCCAGCACTGTAGCTGCAAAGCAAGCACTGCTGCCAGTGCATAGTGCATGCTGGCAAGTGCGAGATTCAACAACATTCAACAGATTGCCTTTTTCGTAGATCTACCAGCGAAATCACTTCGCTTGTCACAAACGTACCGCTGTGACCGTGTGCCACAACTAGTAGTAATATTGGCAGAAAATTGTCCCACTTTCCTGACGACCTTCTGAAGTAACCCTTACTGGCCTTAGTTAGTAGAAGCACGGTTGGCCTTAGTTTTGTCCTTCACCGTTCTCGTTCTTCAGCTGACCCGTAGTACCGCTGTCATCTGATTTTCTTCATTCGTTATCGCTATTCATTGTACTTCGTTGCATTTCCTCACGAGAACTGTTACTTCGCCTTGTGGATATCAAAGCAACTTTGGTTCGATTATTGGTTCAATGAAAATAGAGCCTGTCTAAAATCTTACCGAAAATGTCTCGTTCGAGACGAGAGGAGTTCATGCCTCCACCCAAAGCTCCTGTGTTTGAGCCGTCTGAGGAAGAATTTAGGGACCCATTGGCCTACATCAACAAAATTCGGCCTGCGGCTGAGCGTGTTGGAATATGCAAGATTCGGCCTCCGAAGGTAAGCCTTGCGAGGTCTAGAAGTGCGTGGATAACTCATGCGGACTCAAACGCCACCGAGTACCCGAGTGTCATTGTGTCTATTTCTCTGGGGCTGTGGTTCATTTCGTGTGAATTTTCACGCTCCACCATCAAGTTTCAGAAGGTGGTGGTAATCTGTTGTCTAAATCTTCATATCCAACTACTTACTTATGTATGTTTGTAGATCTCGTTGCAATGGCCCATGTGTGCATGTGAATGCGCTTCAAAGATTTCCCGCGGCGCATTCCCTTTGGAGTTTACTAGTATCTGACAGATTCACGTTGGCCATTTGCCCCCATATATTTCTAAATCAACTTTGAAAATATAATATTGAATACAGTATACAATGAAAAAATTTATTTAAAAAAATGAAAAGCCAGTGCAGAAAAAAATCATCGCAAGACATCCATCTCCAAGCATCCGCCTGACCCCGGGAACGGGGCCAGTGACAGTAGAAAAGTGCCTTTCGGGAGAGGTAATTTTTGGCCCATAAAAGTGAAGAAGAATGAATGAAGAAAGGGGAAGTGTGGTTGTTGATTCACTGACCCAAACCTTACATGTGCAGTATAGCGAAAGAAACCGGACAATGGATGCATCACAGTGAACTCGGCGCTGCCCAGGGAGTCGTAGCATCCAGGGAGATGGCATGACCGAGTGGAGGGTGACGTGATGTGTAGGTTTTGCAATTGTGCTTGGGAGAGGGGCCGATTTAGGCACGGTCAAACCTACACATCACGTCACCCTCCACTCGGTCATGCCATCTCCCTGGATGCTACGACTCCCTGGGCAGCGCCGAGTTCATGGTTTTGCAATTGTGCTTGGGAGAGGGGCCGATTTAGGCACGGTCGTGCGTGGCATAGCCAGTGTGGACTGCCTTTCGGGCTAGCAGGTCCTGGCCACGACCGCGGTCGCGTGTTATAAACACCAAGGATCCCGTAGGGGCCTGTTAATCTGGGGTTGAAGCGCACATCATTTCGGGTACCATGATTGCATGTTGTCTCCTAAAAGATACCACTCCTTGGCATGCCCATGGACATGAGGGCGAATTTCACTTGCCGCAAGCGTATTCTGTACTTTAAAGTACGTGTATAACAATTAATTAGTGGTGATCGAGTTTGGCACACCCATCACTGTTTGATGTTTGGAGCTTTGCGCAACTAAACCACAAGGCGCTCATTACTTTCTGAGGAGGGGAGGGGGGCAATATTGTACAATGAATGATAGATCTGTGTGGAGAGCCAATGATAAGAAGTATTATTAAAGCGGTGTTGAATTTGTGCATCGTCCTTATTTACCCTAGCACCGTTCAGTCAATGTACATATTTCTTGGGGGGATGCAGTTTTCAACACCCTCACACTTTTTAACATCAATGTAGTTCACCTAGACATTTCATTTTCCCTAATTACCTGTGTTGGGCCTTTGTCCACAGGTCCCAAGAATATTATGTTGCAAATGTTATGTCCAAGCAATGTGTTCTTGCTTACAATATCCGGAGAATGGTGGCAGGTGTCAGATAGCGGCAGTTGTGCTACTGTGCTCGACTGTCTCTTGTGCAGGGTATGCAGTTTGTGTCGGTAGTGCAGTGCAGTGCAACGCACTGTTCATCTGCTGTAGCACAGTACTGCCGGTCGCCGAAGAACTGGGGGGGGGGGGGTCAGCCTCCTAGCCTAGAGCGTTCTTATTTTCATGTACTATGGTCTATGCACAGTTGAGTCACCGTGTATTCACTGGTATGCTGTGTTTGGTGAAATCCTAGCCTGGTCGTTCTTCGGCACCCGACAGTGATGTATAGTACACATTGGGCATCATCTGAGTTTATGTGTCTCTTGATGGTGCACAATGGACACAATGGCGGCTTTGGGCAGCTTTGTGTGTTTAGTATGCTACAGCCTGTGGTACCGTTAGGTGTGCAGGTTGAATGTATCTGCGACCAAGATGCTTCGTTTGCGTCAGGAGTTGTATGTTGCATGCATCTCCCTTTGTCTTGTGCAGAACTGGGCACCACCGTTTGCGGTCGATCTGGAGTCCTTTCGCTTTGCGCCGCGTGTGCAACGTCTCAATGAGCTGGAAGTAAGAACTCCTTGATTTCATGTCTGTGCTCCAGCGTCTTGCTTCCCAGTCTTGTCTTTTCTTTTTGTGTATGAGTGTGACCCCGTCAGTCCTTCCATGCTGCATTGTTTGCAGGTTGATTGGTTACTATGACAAGAAACGAGGCATGTGCTGCGAGTGTGTGGCCTTGTGAACTCGGCAGGGTTTCACTAAACTTGCACTACTAGTACGGTAAAAAGCTAAAGAAGCAGCAGAAAAAGTTGAACTTTTTGAATGCTGCAAAAACACAAACTCGCAATAAAGTCCGGCGTCCAGTGCATGCTTTGCGTGTGCTTAGTACATCCATCATGGGTTCTGAAAAAGGTGACGTCAACCAAGCATGAATTGCACACTCTTGTTTATGTATTCTAGATTGTATGGATTGGCAAACCATTGCTTGTGATGATATTCCACACAACACACTAGTAATGGCCTAATCTGGTGTATTGTGTTGTGCTCTTTGCAGGCACACAGTCGTGTGAAGATGAACTTCCTGTCCGCACTGAGCAAGTTCTGGGAACTTCAGGTAATTATTGAATGATAGGCAAGGACAGTCAATGACAGTCAATCTTTTCAAATTTCCATTTTCAAGTGGTGTGTTTTGTGACTTTAGACACTCCTTCAGCTATAGTGGTTCCCAAAGTTCTGGGCACTTTGGTATATTGAGATGAGCACCATTTGGATGACCTTTGAAAAAAGGTTTATCCTTTCTATCACTTTTTTTGCCAAAAATCATGACGACGTACATCATAATGCTGACCTTTCCCCGTCGAAATGCATGTAGTTACGGGTGGTGCCTGGTCCTGGAGCGCCTTCCTGGGGTTGTTTCCATTGTGCATAATTCTTCCTCTTCCTCTCGGGGTGTATTTTCCATCTTGTGGACAGGGCACCACATTGAAGCAGCCGCATATCGAGGGCTATCCGCTTGATCTGCATGAACTGTGGAAGGTCAGTCTGATGCATTCACAGAAGCACCCCGTCAGTGCCTCTGTCACTCTGTGTGTCTCTGTGCTTCTGTGTGTCTCTGTTTTTATGGGTGTCTCTGTGTTTATGTGTGTCTCTGTGCTTCTGTGTGTCTCTGTTTTTATGTGTGTCTCTGTGTTTATGTGTGTCTATGTGCTTCTGTGTGTCTCTGTTTTTATGTGTGTCTCTGTGCTTATTTGTGTTTATGTGTATCTCTGTGTTTGATGTGTGTGTGTGTGTGTGTGTGTGTGTGTGAGTGTGTGTGTGTATGTGTGTGTGTGTGTGTGTGCGTGTGTGTTTATGTAGGTTGTGTTGGAGGAAGGTGGATATGAGCATGTGATGGTGGCCAAGAAGTGGTCCCAGGTTGCCAGAAAGGTATGGTTGCCGGCATGCTGCCTTGTGATACTAACTGTAACTGTAATGGGGTGTGTGTGTGTGTGTGTGTGTGTGTGTGTGTGTGTGTGTGTGTGTGTGTGTGTGTGTGTATGTGTGTGTGTGTGTATGTGTGTGTGTGTGTGTGTGTGTGTGTGTGTGTGTGTGTGTGTGTGTATGTGTGTCTTTGTATGTGTGTGTGTGTGTGTGTGTGTATGTGTGTGTATGTGTGTCTTTATGTATGTATGTGTGTGTGTGTGTATGTGTGTCTTTATGTATGTTTGTGTGTGTCTGTGTGTGTCTGTGTGTGTTTCTGTGTTTGTATGCGTGCTTGTGTGTGTATGTGTCTGTGTGTGTCTGTGTGTGTGCGCCAGGCTAAATTAGTGGCGGTCAATTCATCAGCCTTGCAAGCTGTTGAATGGTGTACTCCTAGCACAAGTTGCTATGTCTAACATATCTGTTCGCTATCATCGCTTCCGCGATGGGCATGTGTGTGTGTGTGTGTGTGTGTGTGTGTCTGTCTGTCTTGGCCGTTTTATGCCGATGTACACCGTGTGGTGTGGACCAGGTGTGCATTGGTGGTTGATTCACATGGCTTCGCCAGTTGTGTGGATTACACAGTTTTCTGGCGCAAGTCTTGGTCTGTCTCATTCAGATCTTGTTCGCTGTCGTTGCTATAAGAGAAAATCTGTGGGTGCACATCCAGTGCATTTGCAGATTTGCGTGCTTCTCTTGTGACGGGCGTATGCATGGTACATGGTGTGTATGTGGGTGGGTGTTTATGCACATGCACAACCACACACATGTGCACAAACATCCTGCACATAGTATAAGTACATGTATTGGTGTGCCCCCCCCCCACGCGCGCGCGCGCGCACACACACACACACACACACACACACACACACACACACGCGCGCACACTTGCTCAAAGATGCTCGGCCCGAACTGGTATTGGATGAGGTATTAAACATCACTCTGACTCTTTTCTTTAGTAGTTCCACACGCACACACTTGCTCAAAGATGCTCAGCCCGAACTGGTATTTGATGAGGTATTAAATATCACTCTGACTCTTTTCTTTAGTAGTTCCACACACACACACACACACGCACACACTTGCTCAAAGATGCTCAGCCCGAACTGGTATTTGATGAGGTATGAAATATCACTCTGACTCTTTTCTTTAGTAGTTCCGTAAAAGATTCCATTGTTACATTTTGTTATGCTTTTTTTCTTGTCTCAGATGGGCTACAAGAAGCTTCAGCATACTTGTTTCTCATTGCGGCAGCATTTCGAGAAGATTTTATATCCATACTGTGTATTCCGTGCTGTTGAGGTGAGTGAAGTCCCTCCACAGGGTAGCTTCCCAGATGGTTGTAGGTGGATAATCTTTCTCCGTTGCAGAACAACGCCAGTGTGATAATCATCCAGTGCAAATTGTGCATTTATAGTTTTATAGCCACATGTACATGTAGCGATAGTGCGTGTTATCTGGCGCTAGTGTTGATCTGTCTCATGCAGATCTTATTCGCTGTCGTTGCTATAGGAGACAATCTGTGGGTGCACATCCAGTGCATTTGCAGATTTGCGTGCTTCTCTTGCGACGGGCGTGTACATGGTACATGGTTGATATTAGGAAAGATGTTGCTAGCTAAACTGACACACATCGCCCTATTATATCAAGTGCTTTGTTTCCTCTGCCGGTGTGGTGTGCCTTGTGCAGATGTCCGAGGTCAAGGAGAGCTGCACGAGAAAGACAACAGGGTATGCGACGTCCGCCATGTCGACTCACTCCCTCGCTTCGACGCAGCGCCACAAGACGTTGCGCAGCAGCGATGCACCAGAACATGTAGGTTGCTGTGTCGGATGGATTGATATAGCCGTGTCCAAGAAAATATCAGCATGCTGTGTGTCTGTGTGTATATGTATTTATTGGTGTCTGTGAATGCCCCTCAAAATCTAGATCATCTTCGCGGTCCGTTTCTTCCTACGGTTTATTTCTGTCAGTGTCTCCGTGTCTGTTTGTGTTCAGATTTTATTAGATGAGAATAATAAAGCGACGAACGCATCAGAAGGTAAGGTTGATTTGATTTTGATTCTGTAGTACTGCTGTCATTGGTTGGTCTGGGAGATTTCCCCTGGGGTCAGCTAGCTTCTTTTCGACTTTGATTTCAGTGTTCAGTTCAACAGCTGAGCAATGTTGCATATCCTGTCCGCCACGGAAGATTGGGCCCACGGTAGACATACAACCTAATGTGTACGGTTTCTTCCATATTTAAACAATCCCCCGTCTACTCCAGCTGCCTGGAAACCGGTTGTAACTCAGAATGCACTTGTGCACGCGCGCATGCGCGTGCGCACACACACACACTTTTTCTTTACGATAGTGTTTTTGTAGCAATAGCAGGGAACTCTGAAATGAACATTTCGGGCATTCGGTGTGGCATGGGTATCATTCATGTATGGTATGTGGCAGTGTCTGCGCCAGAGCCGGGTCAGCGGCCCGGTTGAGGGGCTATTGGATCCGCTTGGAAAAGGAACACCGGGTCACTTGTGACCCGGTTGGGACTCAATCGGGAGTCCTAAGACTCCCTGATGTACGATTATCGCACCTGAATGTACCCGGGACTGACCCTGTTGCAAGAGTTGTGCCAGTTACACGTGTACCCGATTGGTTTGAAATCCTAGAGCAGACACTGTGTGGGTGGGTGGTTAACTTACCACCTGTATTTCTGTGTGCTGATTCTTCTTGTGCAGCTGCTGTTGCGGGATATGCTGTAAGTCGGTGTGCTGTAGTACATTGTCACTGCCAGTGTGTGTGTGTGTGTGTGTGTGTGTGTGTGTGTGTGTGTGTGTGTGTGTGTGTGTGTGTGTGTGTGTGTGTGTGTGTACTGCTCATAGTGATGTTGATCATTCCATTCACTGCACATGCTACAGTACTACCCAAAAAGCTAGAAGCTACATAGTAGATCCAGAAGCTTGAAGTGCATGCCACCCGTGCCTGTTTGACATTAATGAAATTGCGCTACTGTTGCGGGTTTGAGCATAAGCGTTTTTTTGGTTTTGCTTTAGATTGTGTTCACGGCGTCAACTTTGAATCCAACCTTAGCCCTAGTGTTTCAGGGGGGTTATGTACTCTTGATGTATACCATGTTGGTGAAGTTTTGTTGTGCACACACTATCTGTGGCCTTTGCAGCAGGACAAGCCGGCTATCTGCAAGGTGTGCGACAAGCGTGGTGACAAGGATCGCCTGCTGGTCTGCGACAACTGCTTGACCTGCATACACACGTTCTGCCTGATCACGCCACTGGCGTCGATGCCCACCGGCGGCTGGCAGTGTCCAAGTTGCATAGCGGCGGTAAGATATAACATACCGTAATGTCGCGTATAAAAGCAGGTGCTTACGGCCGTATAAGCCGTTGTCAGTGCTAGGCTTCTATTCAAACCACCTATCTCTATGTATGTCAATACTAAAACCAGGCTTATGTGCTGACAGTGTTTCTTAAAAATCAGGCTTGTATTCAAAACGGGCTTCTATACAAGACACTACAGTATTTTACCAGATATAAGTCGACCCCAACTACTTGCGGCTTTGATTTACCTGTGCAATGTCAATATGATCAATAGCGATTGAACCCCGGTTGATTTTGAATACCGGTTCAATGTCAATATGCGATTGAACCCCGGTTGTAAGTCGACTGCCCCTTCTTTGATTATTTTTTAGGTCATAAAGGATCGACTTACAACAGCAAGAAAAAGGATCCTGAAAGATGTCTGTAAATATATACATGTACACCTGCATTGACGTATGATCCCCAAAGTACAGCTAGCTACTTTGAAGTAGATTTGGGCAAGTGATCAGCTCATGCTTTTAATCTATGTGTGTGTGTGGTGTGTGTGTGTGTGTGTGTGTGTGTGTGTGTGTGTGTGTGTGTGTGTGTGTGTGTGTGTGTGCGTCTGTGTGCGTCTGTGTGCGTGTGTGGTGTTACCTGATGTGTGTGGTGGCACCAGGAGTGTAGCAAGAAACAAGAATCGTATGGTTTTGAGGAGAGCAAGCAGGCCTACAGCCTGGAGACGTTTGGTGAGATGGCGAATCGTTACAAGTGCCAGTACTTTCAAGTATCATCTCAGCCTCAGGTAAGCACACAATGCTCTTCTGCTGAACTCATATCCTTACCATGTTCTCCGATTATCAGTGTTGGCATTCACAGCTTGCCCTCATGATGCTTCAACCCTGAAAACTTGAACAAAATCGAACAGAAAGTGGTTTTTGACCTCCGGTATTTTTCGCGATATAGGCCGGAGCTACCTTAAAGGGGGTTATAGTTGGTGCATTGATGCGCACCTGCATGTTTGCGTTTGGTGTACGTGTGTGCGCCTCTGTGCTACCTTCTCTTGTGCATGCATATTGTCGTTTCAGTATTCTCTCTGATTGAACTGATTCGGTGGTGAACTTCAAAAATGTTTGGATTCGCCATGGCATGGATTTAATAGTTTCTGCCCCGAATGTGAGTGGCTGATGTATTTCCTGTGATGTTGTCTGCTTTGTATGTTGGCAGCAAATTCGACCTGAACTTGTGGAGAAGGAGTTCTGGAGGCTTGTGGAGTCATCGGATGACCAGGTTAGTCCTGCAGGTGGTGGGGTGGAATGCAGCAGCTGGAGTGTGGTCATGCAGGGTGGTGCCACTGACCAAGGTATACAAGTAGTTTGTGGGTGTGGGTGTCTGAATAGTGACGGTCAATTCTTCAGCCTTGCAGCCTGTTGAATGGTGCAATCCCAGCGCAAGTTGCTATGGCGTCCGCAGTAGCATCGCTATCATCGCCTCTGGCGATGAGCGTCAAAAAGTGTGTGTGTGTGTATGCCATGTTACTTTCCTTGCTTCCGCTGCACTAGGTCGTAGTTCAGTATGGTGCTGATCTTCACTCGTCCAAGCATGGCAGCGGCTTTCCGTTTGGGAATCGTGTTTTCACCGATGAAGACATTGTAAGTAATATCGTTGGCATGGCGTACAACACCAATGTCAACTGATACACTTTTACAAGCAATGTACATGTATATGGCCATTTCAAAATGTTTCCTCTTCTTGGATCTCATCTCTTCTCTAATATCCCGATGTGAGCTCAAGCCAGAGGTATCTACTTTTTTCTTTCTTGTGCCATTCTTGTTGTTAGTCTTACTCAGAGTCACCTTGGAACCTCAACAACCTGCCGAATTTAGAGAGCTCCGTCTTGCGCCATGTGACAGCAGACATATCCGGCATGAAGGTGAGTACTAGGTGCTTGTACAGTGCTGCTCAATGAAATCCAGTCGCGACACTCATGTACGCGCCGGGCGTTGCGCAGCCCTTGACCTGCGAACAGTGAGCTGCAAAATGGTGTAAGGCGCTAACTTGAGTGCCGCGACTGGGTTTCATTGAGCAGGACTGTACAGTCAGACCTCGCTTATCCGGTCCTCGTTTATCCGGATCCCTCGCCATCCGGAAGAAAATCGCCGGTTACCGATGTGCATCATACGTTACGCATACAACATAACTGGACCTCGCGATCCGCATACCGGTGCATGATTTTGTGTACAAACTGGTCGAAATATGTACAAAAAGCTTCATCATATCCGGTTGCACGTAGCTTGCAGAAGCTAGAATCAGGGAGTTGTACAAATAAATGAGGTCCTTGACCTGCTGCATGCATGTGGATAGCACTCATTCGAGCTCAGTTGCATGTACTTGTCATTTTTCTCACTTGTTTTACATATTGTGCACGCTAGTTGTACTGCATAGGACCCATATACATGTATATACGATGCCGCCCATTTTGATGTGCCACATGCATGTTCAGTATGTGTGTTCAGTTATCCGGTTCCCTCGCCTATCCGGATATTTTTTGTGGAAAACGGATGTGTGCGTTTAAGCGAGGTCTGACTGTACGTGTATTCTCTTCACTGCTGAAAGACATCAATTTTTGCTCACTTGCTGGCGAATGGTCTGCAATTTGTCTTTGGGTGTCCAATTTTGTGGGCTTAGATTCTGCACTTGCCTGTTTAGAATGAGTGGCTCATTTGCTGTGTGGGGTTTGATCCAGGGAGTAGTACAAGTACGATGCCGGGAGATGACACCGGCACGCAATCATATGTGCAAGGTTTGCCTCAGAGCACTTTTCTGTGGAGTGTCCTGGGAAGTGTCGCAAAATGTCGTACTTTACGTACCGTTTACCGTAACATTGTTCAAGACTAGGGCTGAAACGATTATACCGAATAATCGAGTACTCATTTGATAACTCTAACGATCGAGCAATCGTTTAGATTACCGATTACGATTATTTTGCGTTTTTAAATTTGTGTCCAGAAAGTACTGTAAACCCTCGTTTTGTGAAGTTTGAATCAGTTTCCGCTGGGAGTATGCAGTTTCCAGGGGTATGGTTCATGTTCGGAGGTTAAATTGACTTCAAAACGGCCATGTTTCGGAGCTACCCTTTCACTAATGCAGATTTGTTGGTATTATGAAGGCATAGTTTGTGGAAACAGAGTAATGTTTGCACAGAATTATGACTCTATTTGCTAACGATTATAATTGATTACTCGATCGTTAAGCTAAAGAGTAATCGATACGTGAAAATCTACGATCGTTTCAGCCCTATTCAAGACCTTTTATAGAATGACTTCAAGCGGGTGGCAGAAAGCTAGGCTGTCAAGAATTTTTCGAGAGGTAGTTGTTGACGTTTGTTTGTGCGATGTAGGCAACGAATGCATCGGTTTTTTTTGCTGAGTGACGGGAGGGGAATCCTACGAAGGATATCAAGTAGCAACCGGCCCTTGCGCGGGTGCATTCAGTGTGTCCAGTATTTTACGTAGGCGGCTTGTACCGTATGTCCGCACCTTTAAAGCCATGGAGGTATATTCGATTATAAAGCCAGTCTCAGTTATAGCTTTATAAAAGAAATGACATTTGAAGTATGTTTTGTAAAAGTGAAGGAATATGTACTATACTAGCAAACTAACAGCCCAGCAAGAAGGGTGAACAAGTGGATTTAGATTGAAATTTCTGTGTGGACTTTGACTTTTATGGCATTGCGTAGTAGGTGAGTCATTTTGCAACTAAAACATCTAGGAAAGCAGCGGTGTTTCGAATATAAGGCCATGGCTTTAAAGGCGCTGACATACGGTAAGAGTGGATTTCTCTTCAATTTTTTTAGTTTCGTTCATGTGTGGGTGGGTCGAGGAGAGTTTCGTTTTGAAAAAATATTGACAGCATTAACATCGATCCATTCTCGCTGTGGAGTCATTATATAATATTTTCTTTGAGGGGGTGTGAGTGGGTGGGGGAGGGTTGTAACTAAACCTTTTCATTCCGTGAAAATTATGGATATCAAGCCGGATGGCCCCTTATTCATCTCGTTTCTAAAGGGAAATAAATAACCTTGACCAAAGTTTTAGTCACAATGAGCAACATGTTTCAGGTATGACTGACCAATTTCCCTTGAAAATGGCTATTCCACAGCCAGATCATCAGAGTGACATTCATGACGCACAAAACGAATAATTTGTGCTCCTGAGACAGCTATCCGCAAATGTCACTGTGACGCGAGTCTGTACGGTGTACCAAGCAGGGAGTAACACGATGGTATTGTGCTACTCCCTGCTAAAAGGCCTGAGTGTGGAATTGTGTACGATAAAACTTCCCAGATCCGGGGCAGGTTGGGACCGACCACTGCCCGTAACTAGGAATTGCCCGTGACTCAGAATATGCATACTTACTGCATGCGAGTAAACAATTTATTATGCCAATCAATAGTTTTGGGGCCGTTTTTCGTTGAAAATCCAATTTTTGTGGCTATAAATGGGTCTTGAAAGGTGCCTGGTAGACGGACGTGCCCGGATTAGGGACGTGCCCGGATTAGGGACGTGCCCGGATCTGGAGAGTTTGACTGTACAATCACAAAAGGGATAACGACGAATAGTTGTGCGTGTGTGTGATACTGTCTCCGCGATTCTGAAGTCGCGACAGCTCGCTACAGAGTGTACTGTCAGAGGCCTTGCAGGCGGAGCAGCAAAGTCGTGCTGTGCTGACTCCATTACAATGCAACACTTACTAGACCTGATGCACCTGGATGGCACCCATGCTTCTTCAGCATATGCTGTTAACTCCCCCTCTTTGGACAAGAACTTGCGCCCATCTGCTCGCTTCTCTATAAGAGGGCAGTACTTTGTGTTGGAAATACCACTGCAGATCCTGGCATCCTGTACTGCATGAAGTACGGCTGAGAGATGATCGCTAGAGGTGATTGGTACAAGGAAGGGAGGGTATATTAAATGCTCTATCTAAATAGTGGGTAGTGTAAGATGCGTCCAGTAAGAAGTGAATGGAACGAATCGCATGCTGACCTGTGTCACCAAACATCCACAAGACCTGCTCCTTGTTGCATCTCCATGAGGGAAAATTCTTGGCATCGAATGCAGAAGACAAATCAAAAGGTTGCTGTGGTAGTGAAGAGTCCCTCTTGGCAATCCACTCTTCAGTGTAAAGCTGGGCACATTCAAGTACATGTTTCTTTCGCTGACAAGGCAGTGTGTCCGTAGCAGCATTTCTTATGTCATCTGCACATGAGAGCAGTAGCCTATCGACAACTGATGAGAAGCGTTGCCAGCGAACCTTTCCTTTGAACTTGCCTAAGCTAATGCCAGTAGTGTGCGTGTGTGATACTGTCTCCACGATTCTGAAGTCGCGACAGCTCGCTACGGAGTGTACTGTCAGAGGCCTTGCAGGCGGAGCAGCAGAGTCGTGCTGTGCTGACTCCATTACAATGCAACACTTCTAGACCTGATGCACCTGGATGGCACCCATGCTTCTCCAGCATATGCTGTTAACTCCCCCTCTTTGGACAAGAACTTGCGCCCATCTGCTCGCTTCTCTATAAGAGGGCAGTACTTTGTGTAGGAAGTACCACTGCAGATCCTGGCATCCTGTACTGCATGAAGTACGGCTGAGAGTTGCTCACTAGAGGTGATGGTACAAGGAAGGGAAGGTGTATTAAATGCTCTATCTAAGTAGTGGGTAGTGTAAGATGCGTCCGGTAAGAAGTGAATGGAACGAATCGCATGCTGACCTGTGTCACCAAACATCCACAAGATGTCTTGACCTGCTCCTTGTTGCATCTCCATGAGGGAAAATTCTTGGCATCGAATGCAGAAGACAGATCAAAAGGTTGCTGTGGTGGTGAAGAGTCCCTCTCGGCAATCCACTCTTCAGTGTAAAGCTGGGCACATTCGAGTACATGTTGCTTTCGCTGACAAGGCAGTGGCAGCGTTTCTTATGTCATCTGCACATGAGAGCAGTAGCCTATCGACAACTGATGAGAAGCGTTGCCAGCGAACCTTTCCTTTGAACTTGCCTAAGCTAATGCCAGTAGTGTGTGATGCAGCGCGGCTTAAATAAGTTGTCAGAGAGGGTGCAACAATTTTATCGCTGGCAGGCATACAGCATGAATAAATTTCACATTGGCAGCATTCCTGGCTCGATACGGGCTGTCTCCGTGAAACAAGTTCTTTAGAACAGCATAGATGGTAATCTCACGTAGACTTGGATTGTCCGCGCCTCTCCAGTTCAAAGGTGTGGAAGTGATAGTATCGTCCTTCGGTACTACTATCACTCAACACGCTAGGACGGCATCGGTGCATACCAACATCCCAAAACACAATGCATCGAAACCACTCGTGCTCTCTGATGTTCTTTGCTTTTTGGGCGAGGAGCGATTGGTGTCAGGGCAGGCAAACTTCGCAGCTGTGTCTAGTTCTTCACTCTTTCTCTTCTGTCCACGTGGTCTTGAACATATTGTTCCAATCCATGCAATTAAATGTTGTCACCCACGTCCATTTTTGGGAGTCGTGACTTGGCAGCAGTGTCAACGATTTTCTAGACTAGCTTCCAAGAAAGGTTCGACCAGAAAAGAAGAAGTGTCAGCTTGTCACAAAGGGATACGTCTGGTCTTCTTGTCACTATTTGAGGATTTCTCAGCGCTGTCAAAAGAACAAAACATTTTGTGCGGTGTTGGCGTGGCGAGAATGCCACGGAGTTAGTCTACACGTTCATGTCATGTTCAGTTGCGATCTGCTTTCTCTTCCTGATTGCCATTGCGGTCATGCTGTCGGTTCTCTGTGATTTGACCTTTATCTCCTGGCATCTTACTGTCTTCATGTGCTCCCCTTGGGGGCACCTTGATGCCTGATGTAATATCGAAGTTGTACAGCGGGCTACCTTTTAGGTTCCGCTGCGGTCGGTTTCGCTGAGCCAGCCTTGGCACCGTGTAGCCTTTTTTGGTGGTTGTGTTCTTGTGCGTGCGGCATGAGGTTTTTAGCTGTACCTTTGTTTGGCTGCGCTGCCTTTTTGTTTCCAGAGAGTTTTTCTTTGCATGTATTGTAGTTTATTGGAATAATCCAGTGCTCTTCGAGCCAACACCACAGCAATTCATGAGTGTCGATCCTCGCCGAGGTGTATGATCTGTAGCCGTCAAAACAGGTGTGGTTTATTTTTGTGAGGCAAAGCTTATCAGTCCGGATACTCGTATGTGCCCGTGTCATCTCCCGGTATTATACTACTCCCTGGTTTAATCTGTCTCTGTGTTTGTGTATGTGTGTGTTTGCATATGTATGCGTGTGTGTGTATGTATGTGCGCGTGTGTTGTATTTGTGTTTGTGTGTGCGCACGCATGTGTGTTGTGTGTGTGTGTGTGTGTGTGTGTGTGTGTGTGTGTGTGTGTGTGTGTGTGTGTGTGTGTGTGTGTGTGTGTGTGAACTAATTACCGCAGGTTCCTTGGCTGTACGTGGGAATGTGCTTCTCTAGCTTTTGCTGGCACAACGAAGATCACTGGAGCTACTCCATCAACTATCTGCATTGGTGAGTTAGAACTGCTTATCTACATGATTGTATATGAGCATGCTGTATTTGTTTGATTCGTGCATATTGGGTATCTGTGCTTGCTCGTACGGACAGCACCAACTTGCTATGTTGATTGAAGCACGTATTCAAATGGAATGCTCTTTGAATTTTGTGGTCCGGGAGGAGAAGGGGGGATGCAATTTCTTGAGCGAGCATACATCTATCCCTGCTGTGTAATCTGTGTGTTGTGCTTGGTCATCAGGGGCGAGCCGAAGACCTGGTACGGCGTGCCCGGCCACTGTGCCGAGAAGTTCGAGAAGGTGATGGAGTCGGCGGTGCCGGAGCTGTTCAGGGACCATCCTGACCTGCTGCACCACCTGGTGACGCTCGTGTCACCCACGCTTCTCATGAAGAACAGAGTACCGGTAGGTGTTGCTGTAATTCGGAGTGACTTATTCCACAAATTTCCGGTGTACTTTTATTTTCGGTACTTTCGGTGCGTCTGTTTCATACCTAAAATTTCGATACACCGAACAAACACTAACACACATAATCAAATAGGGATCTGCTTCTCTGTACCTAAATTTTCTGCTCACCTAACCTGGCCTTTTGCCTTCATACCGATAATATTGAGCACCTAAAATTTCTGAAATTAGAGCATCATGTTATGCAGCTGCACAGCACAGTGCTGCTGGGAATGCCCAAGTAGAAATAAAAACGAGAGAGCTTGGAAGCTCAGGGCCCTACGCTATGCTTTTTTGCCTTGATGACCTACGCAAAAAAAAGCATAGGGATGTTATAAATTTTTCATTTCTCCTATTTTTTTTTCAAGACATAACCTGGGATTCGAACCCGCACTATCGCCCTGCATGCATCCCCGATACACTTCGCAGACATACTAGTTCTTCCAAGTTGCTTCACTTTATGATCTTGCATTTGAAAGCCCTATTTGAATATCGTGGCCAGCCGTACTTTGATGGTACGGTAAGGTACGGTACGGGACGGATACAGTCGAGGGTGATACGACACCGTCTACCACCTTGATGACCTAGGCAAAAAAAGAAGTGGCCAGCTGTGTTTGATGGTACGGTACTGGACAGATACGGGATAGCGCCAGGCGTGACACAAACAAACAAATACCAAATCAAAGCTGTGTGGACCCTGGCTAGCGCCAGACGTTACTGAAGTAACGTCTTCTGCATAGCTACGGGAATAAAGTACAATTCAAAAGATACACGATACAACAGCAGCTGTGCATCTAGTATCAGAACAAGAGTGCGTCACTAAGATTGTGCAGCTTGGCCAGCTTGGCTCATGGCGGGATTTGTGAGGACCTCAGTCTTTTGCGGCTACATTGTATTTTGATTCACTGGTGCGTACTAGTCAGGGGTCAAACGTGCAAAGAGCCTATACATTGCAGCTCTGGGAATGTTCCTTGTCTCCTGGCTTTTGGATTTTGTGCTGCGTGTCGGGTCTACACATACGTAATCATCTGTTCTACCTTGTCTTGCTCTCCTAACGTACACGCGCGCACACACACACGCACACATGCTGTAATGCTGCAGGTTGTCAGTACGCACCAGTGCGCCGGCGAGTTTGTCGTCACATTCCCGCGTGCGTACCACGCCGGCTTTAATCAGGGATTCAACTTTGCCGAAGCCGTCAATTTCTGTCCAGCAGACTGGGTAAGATGATCACTCTGTGCTAATTGTGGTGTTTCATGCTGGAATGATACTCAGCAGTGAGTGGGTGGGGTGTGTGTGTGTGTATATGTGTATATGGGGCAGGGGTTGAGAGAGAGAGAGAGAGAGAGAGAGAGAGAGAGAGAGAGAGAGAGAGAGAGAGAGAGAGAGAGAGAGAGAGAGAGAGAGAGAGAGAGAGAGAGAGAGGGTGGGTGGATGGGTGGATGGGTGGATGGGTGTACGTGCTTGGGTGGGTGGGTGGGTGGGTGAATGGGTTGGTGCGTGAGTGAATGAGTGAGTGAGTGACTGCATGTATATACAATATACTTCACCAGTTGTGTGGATTAGACAGTTATCTGGCGCAAGTCTTGATCTGTCTCATTCAGATCTTGTTCGCTATCGTTGCTATAAGAGAAAATCTGTGGGTGCACATCCAGTGCATTTGCAGATGCGCGTGCTTCTCTTGCGACGGGCGTACACATGGTACATGGTACATGTACTTCGAAGTATGACTATAGATAATAGTGGAAAGGCGAGAGAAGATTCAACGATGATTCCGATAATGTATAGTTCACGCACAGTGCTGTTCTTTTGTTTCATGGTACACAAGAGGTACACAAAGGGAAATAACTTCAAACAAGGGCTTATCTGTTGTAACTCAGATTCTCATGGTTTGACAAGTTATGTTTTAGATTCGTGTTCCGTGTGAGTTTGGTACCATTGCTGGTGTGTTCCTTTCTCCCCTGCATGCCCGCTGCATAGATTCGCATAGGGCGATCGTGCGTAGATCACTACCGTCAGATGCGCCGCTACACCGTCTTCTCTCACGACGAGCTCATCTGCCGCATGGCACTCAGCCTGCCCAGCATGGACCTGCACATTGCTGAGGCTATCGATGGCGACCTGGCTGTGCTGCTGCAGCGCGAGACCGAGCTCAGGGACACCGTCGTCAAGGCCGTAAGAAACCCGATCTTGCTGCGTAAATGCACAGTAGAAGTCAACCTGTCTGAAGTGACCACCCCGCCATGCACTGAGTGTCGGTCTCTATAGACAGGTGGTGTTCATAGACGCCTGGTCTTTATGCACAGCTGGTATTTCTTTATAGGTCAGAATGTGCATGATTGTATTGTGGGATGGTGTGAGGCCCGAGATGACCGACCCTTGAGGTCAAGCGGTCTCTTATAGCAGCGGTTGCTAAAGGCAGTTTTTGCTCTATCTATGTATGCAACAACCGGCTCATTGTCATACTAGTCCTATACAGTGGAGATCGGACATAACGACACTCCTTCGGGAGAAAGCAAAATGTCGCTATATTGGATCTGTCACTAAACCCGATCTTCACATTTAGTATGCAATATGTATACAAAATGACAGAAATGTATTGCAGATATGCATGTGCATAATATAATGAACATGATCATCTTGCGATCATCTTGCGTCTTGCGATCATCTTGCGTCACCTCTCACCACTGCAGCACAGCCTGCCTGTACTGACAACTAAAGGGCAACCAACCTGTCTTTACTGACCACTAAAGGACAGCCTGTCTTTTATTTACTGACCACTAAAGGACAACATGGCTTTACTGATCAGTGCAGGGCAATCTGTCTGCACAACTATCACTAAC